TCGTGATCGACGCGACCATCAAGCCGATGGAGATAAGTACGGGGGAGATGTTGGAGGACCTTTGGACCCGGATCCTCGTGCTTAACTCGTTGTGCTACGCCGTCGGAGCCAGCGGTTCCGGAGCGATGAACGTGCTCTTCTTCGAAGTACAACCGGTAAACTGCACCGGCTCAGTCGGCGAACAGCGTAACTCGATCATCTGCACTTCCCCGGTCGGCGCGGAATTCAACGTCTGCCCTCCCAGTCAATACGGCGTCCCGCTCGTCTGCGATGACCTCGTCTTCGGCATTTTTCTCTACTCCGATTTCGTCTGTTGCAGCGGAGGTACAAAGAACTGTCGTGAGAAGTGCCTGCTTTTCACTTCCCTCGGACATTATCTGGACTACTTCAACATTTCCCATTCAAACAACGAAGGGTGGCATGGTGTGCAAAGAAATTGGATTTTTATTATGTCAGCTTTCCATTTTCTTCCAGAATTATTCTCGAAAACATGAATTTCTAAAATGAAATGCTATATTATGTTCTATTTTTGTTAATGTGAATTCAGTCATGTGTTACACACCGTGTTCGTACCAGTTACTGTTAACTGTTCATTTTTATTTTTTATTTAACTAGAAATTATCTACGATATAATTATTAGCCTTCAATATTATAATACTCTAAAATGTATTATATACTATAAAAAAGAAACCAATATAAAATGCAGTTTTCAAACTAAAATCTAAAATAGAAAGTCACATGAAAGTGTTGGAGAAGACGATGTAGAGCGCGCCGTCGCCTACAGTTGTTGTTTTTGGACAGTGGCGCCTTCTCGTACTCAAAAAATCAAGTACTCGGTCGTGCCGAAACCTCTGTCTTTGTATTCGGGTTTTTCTTTGTTCACACATTTTGTATCATGCTCCTTTCTTTGTGTAATAAACACGACTCAGTGAGAACTATTCTTGTTTATTGAATCCCTATAATTCTGCTGACAGGTTATGGGCCCAGAATTATAGTGTCGGAAACAGTTCGTTTGTGTATCGTTCGCGTATCGGAAAGAAACATGCGAGACGAGTGTTACGAACATCACGCGGATAGAACAATTGTCGAAAGACAACTACGACACTTGGAGGATTCAGATGGAGGCGATCCTCATCAAGAACGACGCTTGGAATTAATTCAACGTAGGGAACGTAAAACCGGAACCGACGGCAGATAACCAAGCGGATCTTCTAGCGTGGATAAACGCCGACAACAAAGCCAGGTCAGACATTATTTTAAGTATTTCACCCTCCGAATTGAAACAAGTAAAGGGCTGCACAACTTCTCGTGAAGTCTGGATAAAATTGCAAGACACATACCAGTCTCAAGGCCCGGCAAGGAAAGCAACTTTGTTAAAACAGCTTACTTTACGCCGAATGGTGGAAGGAACTGACGTTCGTGAACACTTAACGGCCTTTTTCGACACCGTTGATAAACTCGGCGACATGAACGTCGATATCAACCCCGATTTACTTGCCATGATGCTATTTTACAGCTTGCCACCCAGCGTCGAGAATTTCAGGTGCGCCATCGAATCTTGAGACGATTTGCCCGTCCCGGAAGCCCTAAAAATCAAGATTTTGGAAGAGAGCGCAGCTCGGAACAATAACGGAAACAACGGTTCGGAAGAAGCGATGTTTTCAGCAAAAAAAAAAAATCGAAAACCGTCTGGATTATCGTAAAAACGAGCGAAACGTAAAGTTCAGATTTAAGTGCCACAGGTGCCGCAGATATGGCCACAAGGCAAACGAATGCCATTGACAACACGAAAAAGCCAAGGAATCGGCCAAGAAAGTTGAAAATATGGCTCTGCGCGTTAGGAGGTTCGACACACGACTCGGGAAAATAAAAATGGTGCCTCGACAGCGGAGCGACGTCACACATGAGCAACACTCCAGGGGATTTTTTGAGACATAATGGCTCTGTTTATCTCGAACTAAATTTGGCAAACAATGAAACCACCAAAGGACAATATCACGCATGGTCAAATGGAACTTCTAGATAGGGGCTTACTTGATTGAAAAATGGTTTTCTTTGTTTATAGAATTTTGTCCAAATCATCATGACATGTTCCATCGTCTCTGTGACCAAGAATAATCACTCATATTAATTTCTGATCTATTTATTTTTCTTAAGTATTGTTTCCAGACGGCATGGTTAGATCTAACAAGGGGACGACGATTGGTGGGTCACGATTTGGACCGAACTTTTTTTTGTCATTGTACACACCAAGTCAACGAGTACTAGTAGTGATGACGGGGTGTGGACTGCGTGTGAAAGGGTTTGGGCAGTTCCTAATCATTTGTTGCCTGGCTAAACTCTTTGGCACCCGTCCATTCAACTAGTTGAATTAAACAGTCGACTCATCTGAAGTGCTTAAGTAAGGTCCCGGGCACATTAAATAAAACTTGGTATCATTCTTATATAAATGTAAGCCGGCCCCAGTCTTAGCGATAAGTTAAATTGTAAAATAAGAACAAAATAGGTAAACGAGGAAAAGGACAGGGGTTGTGCTTTGAAGGGGCAACCGCCCAGACGGGAACGACGTGACACATCTGGCAAATGTAGCTTAGAAATGGTTACCCCGGTAGACAGGTAAGAACGGAGGACATCGTAAATTGGGAATACGTCAACCCTGTGCTTGGCCGCCGTCTTTGCCTGCCCAACCGCGGCGTGAGGACTCCCCCATCTCTTGAGTTTCCTTTCCATCCCTACTCCGGGAGAGACCCGGTATAAAAGGGATGACTGGAAAATCAAAAGTCAGTCAAGAGTCAAAGACCCAGCCGAGACTCACCCCAGGCAGTCAAGACCAAGGACCGGGAGAGAAGCAGCCACACTCCGTCCGGTATTCAACAAGAGGACTCAGCCAGCCAGAGCCAGCGAGGATCAGCCGTTGCGACCAATTGAGCCAAGTCAGAGGTCGAGAGAAGAGATGCTGTGGACAATGATCGTGGCGAGCATCGTTTGGGGGTAAGTCCCTTTGTTGATAGACTCATCCCAGATTTAGAGTTGTGGCTGACTTGTAGATTAAGTAAGATTCTGAGGTTTTTAAGATTAAGAGAAAGAATTGTGTACAATAAATGTAACTGAATACGCTCTCTGGTTTATTGAATTCTGGAACCTTACCTTCCCCTACTCAAGAATAAGTAGCGACGCGCTTACGTCGACTCATCTCTTGTCGCTTAGAGAAAAACAAGCGAATATCGAGAGATTATTCGGCCGCCGCCCCGTCGTCCGCTTACATAAAGATAATATTTATTTAAAATAATATAAAAGGTATCCTTGAAACAACTACAAATACTCCACTAGTGTGAACAATGGCCTTGCATTTCCTTGGAAAGTAGGGGTAAGTCAGGTTTGTATGTTGTTGTTTTTAATTTTAGGCATGATTCCAAGTTCTCATCGATAAGCCGATTTCTTAACCTACTCTTGATAAAGTTCATGCTTGAGAATGATTGTTCGCATCATTATGTAGACCCAAATAAGGAAAGAACAGCAAACGCTAATTTCTTCAGTTGATCATATGAGTCAGGAATACTATTCCAGGTGTTAAAGATCAACGTATCTTCCCTCTCCAGATCTTTCAAAACAGACCACTTGTACTGTAAACTTAATTCACATTTATTTTTCTCCACCAGCTCTAAANAAATACGATGACCCTATTACAAGTTTTACAGTTAAAAAACATGAATAGGACATCCAGTAAAAGAACCTATTTCATTTATTAAAAATAATAATTTCTTAAATGTTTACAGCGCATCGAACTTGTTCATAGAATGGTATAAGTTCCAAAAGCCAGAACATTTCAATTCATTTGCTACCATGAGTTCGAACAGAGCATGTGTTGTAGAAATTCAATGCTTTGTGGACAACGAATGCATATATTGTAAAAGAAATGTCGATTGTAGATCTTGACCACTATTCGAGTCAACATTGGGTTTTCAAACCGCCAGAGGAATGTGCACAAAACGAGTCCAGTCTTCAAGTAAATAGTTGGTTACATCGCTGGTGATGTAGACAATGACCAATTAGATACGATTTTACGTCATCATCTTGATAGTTATAAAAAGATTTTTGTTCAAGGCTTACAAAAGAAAAGGTTTCTCTCATATTTCACCGATAATGAAATAGACCTCGAAGATTTTGGCTGTCCACAAATTGGAATTTTGAAACCAGCGCAAGAAGGGACACATTGTTTACTCCATAATATTACGCCAAAGATGTGCATACATTTTCGCGCATACGCCTTGTCTAATTGGATATTCGTAAATCATTTATTAGAGATATTAAAATAATAATAATAATAAAAATTTAGCGCACAGAAGAATTTTGTTTTAATAAGACGGCAATTTTTTTAAAGAAAATATAGTTTTAATGAGAAGGCAATTTTTTTTCTCATGTTTTGTATCTGTAGAAGGATTTTTTTGTTATAAATTAAACGGTGTTTTCATATATAGTATTTTTTTCTGGAAAAGTTTACACTTGTTTTTTTTAAGTAGAAAATATTTTGTTTTTGTGGGTTTGAAGTAATTTTCAATATAACGGTAAGAAAGTCTGCATGTAAGGTCATTGGCTTGGTGGTTAAACACTCGTCAACTTGAGCGATTGGACGGTCCCTGGCGAGGTCGTAAATAACCTGCAAACCAAAATTGTTGTATGAAAATCAAATTTCAAATCTCCTCCTCGTCGTATCTCCACTTTGCCGTAGTGAGTTGGCTTTACAAACAAAGAGAGATACATGTCTTCGTTTTATTTTATTTGATGAATAATAACAAAAAATAATTCACGATCTGGAAAGACATGCATGAACTTGTTTGTTTAGCACTTTTATTTTCATCATATTGCTTTGATGGACTTGGGGATTAGACATGCAGGAACATGCAAGTCTACGTTTGATAATATAATGCGCAGTCGATCAAACCAAGTTCATTTCGTCGTAGGCGTTCGCTGAAGGAGGTCGTCCAAATAAAACAAGGTAATACATATCAATACATAACTTTATTTATTTCGTACAGATATTGACTTACCTTAATTTCACATAGATGGACTCTACGAAACTCGTACGTGCTCTCAACCAAATTACTGCTCGAAAAAGAATTGGAAAAATTTCCGATTTAAACGTAGGATTCGCTTACGAGGTGAAGGGTTTGGTCAAAATCCCAACGAAATACGGCGATGCCATTTACGCCGACCTTGAATACTTCGGACCTACTACATCGGAGACTTCTTCAACGAGAGTATTCCTCCCGAAACGTTCGAGATAATCACCGCTGACGTGTTAACTTCGTACGGCGAAACACAACGAAAAATGTCACTAGTATACAAAGGCGACCACGAAATTGAATTCATTTAATTGTAACACTTTATAAATAATATAAATAAATAATATATTCTTCAAACCGGCAGTTTTTCTTAACCCATGACACAATATGGTGGGAAAAAAACCTCATCAAATACCATAGTGGTGAAAAAATTAAGTGACGTCACTCGTCAAAACATTGGAAAATCAGTGACGTCACTCCTAGTAGTGGTGGGGGTGTCTGGAAGGAGGAAAAGAAGTGGTAAAAACTGTCTCGCCAGACGCCATGACAGGGAAGGTAGAGGGGGTAATGTTTGCCCCAAGTGTCACCTTACTGTAACTATTAATTATTTGAGCAAAAACAAACAGTTTTGTCATCAAGCAACTTAATAGATAATATTGATTTAAAAAATAGAAACAAAATTTTTATATTTCAAAGAGTCTAAAATAAATTATGTCAGGATCTGGTAGTGGAAAAGCAACATCCACAGTTAACGTAAAAAATATATATTTATCCAAATTTATTTATTATTATATTTATTTCATTGAGGGAAAAATCTGTGAATTATTTTCAATCTGATCCTGTTGGTCAAAGTAATTAACAATAGTTTTTCATTCTTTGGATTAGTATTTTCAATAAAATTTTATATTTAATATCCTCTTTACAATTATTCTCTAATATTAAGTGAATTATAGACCATTAAAAAATATATTTCTAATCAAATTGAATTTTTGTCAACATAATTGTTCTTTTGTTACATAACAAAGATGGTTTTGAAAAATAGTAACTTGAAACTGTTTAAAATGGGTAAAACAATTAGTTGAAAATATACTATCTCCATTATCAGTGTTTTTTGATAAAGAAAAATGGAATTGTACTCTTAGGCCAAGGCATTTAAAAGCATTAAAAAAATGTTTAATTCTAATTTTATGGTCACTACTGACAGATTGAATACTCAGTGCATATGTCACAAAATTTTGTGATATAAATAAATTATTTATTTTCTAATTCAGTGAGCATTAACTTCATAAAAGTGTCTACAAAAAATAATTCACCGTGTAGCTAAACTGTAGGACTGTTGGAATCTCTGTAACAAAAATAAGTATCGTATAAAACAATTTTTACATTTAAGTACTTAATATATTAAGTTTTGCCGTAAATATTTCGCCCTAAATCAATGTAAATCTCATTCTTCATGTTTCGGTACGAATGGAAAAGTTGGGCATATCTCTTCGTGTATGCGCCTTCTTTTAAAATATTTTTTATTGTGGCGAGGAAGAAAGTCCGCCATCCTTCGCCGTCTAGTTTTAAGTGTAGTATGCCATGGCTTGCTGTTCTCGCTATTGTGTCAGCCAAGTGTGTTCAACAGGTCATTATGTAAATCATTTGGCGATACTCGGGTTTTGTGTCTTATGAACACGATGTGAATTGACTACGGAGGAGTTGTAGTTTGTTTGGTGCTTTCTTCTTTGCCCGTGTCACCGACATCCAAGGTCGTTTCCTGTGTATGTAAAAATTATGTTGTGTAAATTGGAATAAAGTCGTGTGCAGAGTGCTTGATATAAGACAAAAAATGTCAAATTTTTGGCAATTTACACTGGATGAAATCCGTAAATATTAATAATTTAGGTATAAAGCAAGAAATTAAATTTTGTTTTAACAATTTGGCTTTTTTTTTTTTTTTTTTTTGAAAATTGTCAGTTGTTGAATGAGTTTGTTAGTTAATATTTTTTAAGTGGAATGTTAGAAAAGCAAATGCATTTGTAATCTAAAGGTAACAACTAAATAATTATACTTATTTCTTATTGCGAGCTCTGTTTTAGGTATAAACAAGTGTTGATAAGTTTAATAATAGACTGGGATTAATTGTAATTAATATAAATTAAGGATCTACAAATTTGAACAACTTAGAATTTAAAAAGAAACTTTACACATATCTATCTATAGTTTGGTAATTTCTGATCATTTTGGTCTGGCCTATTCTTACTGTTATATTCAGTCTGTGAGACCAAAATCAAAACGACCAAACTACAGGTTCATCCCTTTGGTGACCCCAAGAGGAAACCTCAAAACATGCATGTTAAAGCACCAACCTATTCTTTAAATCTGTTCCTTTTTATAAAGATCCTGACGATGCTCTTAATCTGTCTGACGAAGAACAAACTTACTTTACTGCCTCCTGTTTATCCAGCATTTCAACTCACCATTGTGTCCTCAATGGTCTTCAATACAACTAGAAGAACACGATCTATCATCTCTATCTCCACACCAAAAACATTCACATACAAACAAGTATCTCCTCCAAAAAAGAGAAGCATTTCTCTTTACCTAAATTTACAATTCTGTCCTAAGAACCACATACTTCCCATCCCACTGATAAATTCTCTAATCAGGAGGATTCCAAACTCTAAAACCTCAAAACTTTTCATCATCCTACCATCCAATTAGTCTATTGATGTTAATGGACAAAACCTTAGAAAAACTTCTGCTTAAGTACATTACGACCGGTTAGGGTTCAGACATTACCATTTCACTAGTCATTGTAAACTTAATCACTACTGCTCTTCAGCATCCCTAACCATCCCTTAAACCCAAATTCTCCGAACCATTGTCAGTGCTCCTTTCTATTTATCCAATCTTACCATCTAAAATAACTTTAATGTCCTTGAAGTAGACAAAAAAAGAAGCTTCAAGTAATTTCACAAATAATCATCCTATCACACAAACCCTCATGTAAGACGTCATCTCACACACTCCCAGCCTTACTATTATTAAGAAGTTTCTTTTTTCCCAATTTTGGTTGAATAATCTGACCATTCTTACTGTATGTCAATAAAATGAGCCTCAGATATCTTCAGCATCTTAAGAAAAACGCAATCAAGCATACAGCAAGAATAGACAAACAAATATCTGGCAGAAATCAATTTTCACATACTTTAAAATTATCTACCCTGTCTACAATTAAACAATAATTAAGAGTTAAAACCAGAGGATTTTTTTTACAAGAAGAATTAGAGGTCATTGCTGATTTTGGTGATTAAACTTGAAAGTAAAATGTTGTTAATCGACTTTATTTCAAACTGTTAGTTTCTAACTTGTTAGTGATTTTATTTTGTTTAATTATATATTTGAATTATTTAGAGAGTTGCTGTTCTTACACAAAATTCGTCCCCTCCAGCTCTAAAAGTTGGGCCCTGAGTGCCTTCTTTTTCGGTTTTCCCGTCGACGTTTTTGGGATGAATTCGACGAACCTGATCCCTCCATGGATTTGTTTCTTCTCTGGTACCCTCTCTGGGAGAATTTTTGTTTTCAATACCGTTAAATTAAAAAGACAGAAAAAAAACCTTTTTCCATTACCTGCTACAAACTCGAGCAGCTGGGTTTCCGAGATGGCCTTGTTTGCTACGACGAAGGCAGTCGCATGATCACCATCGATCGGGTGTGGTATGCCGAATACAGCTACATCTTTGACAGCAGGATGTGTTCGCAGGACGTTTTCTATCTCAGCAGGAGCAATCTAACGAGTTTATATAGTTGTAATTTTTAATTTATGAAAATATTTTAGAGAAAACAAGATACAAGATTCTGGGACTTTGATGAAAAGGAAGAATGTTATTTTTTGAATCAAGACTATACCCACCTATATTTATACAAAGCAAAATTTTTCCAAAATGAATGGAATGTTCTACCTCACCCATGCTTTAGTCCTGACCTCCTGTCAGACTACCACCCGAAACAAGCAATGAGACCCATTTTTTATTACATTTGCTTTAAGATAATTTCTTTGAAATAAAAATATTGATAAACTTTCAATTAAGACAATTTAAAAGAAAGAAGTAAAAAGAACCTGATAAGATTTGTAAAAGAACAGGTCCTTCAGCCTGTCAATAACAAATAAAAACCCGTCCTCGTCATAGTAGCCGATGTCTCCTGTATGAAACCATCCATTATCGTCAAAAGTGGCTGCTGTAGCTTCGGGATTGTTGATGTACCCTTTCATCATGAACGGTGATTTTAGGCAGATCTCGCCTTCCTGCCCTGGCCCGAGTGAATCACCGGTTTCCAAATCCTCAATCTGTTTCAGTTTAATCTTGTTTTACAAGAACATTGTATTGATTTAAAGCAAGTCTTAATGGAGAAACATTAGTAATCATTAAATAAATAAAAAGTAAATAAATAAAACAAGCACGCTGACCCTGCATTTAATTCCTGGTTTGAGCACTCCGCATGATCCAGGCTTATTAAGCCCCGGGAGGCCAGTCGCAATGACTCCCATTTCAGTCATTCCTACAAAATAAAGATTAAATTATCTTTAAAAAAAGTTTTGATTTAACCTTTGAAACAAACGTTTGACAATAACACCAATAAAGTTACAGTGCGGCATTAAAAAAAAAAATTGCAACGTATTAATTTTTAAACTATGCTGAAGGAATGATTTTAAAAATAACTGAAAATTTATTGTTAATTAGTTTTTAAAACAGTTATTATAGTGTAATAAAAACTACTGGTTGATGTGGTATTTTTTTTACTTTTAGACCAAACAAAGTACACAGGTTTTTTTACAATTCTGCTGTTCTAACCGATCTTGAATTTTGTTAATAAAAAGATAAAAAAAAGAATAAAGGAAAAAGAAGAAAGAAAGGAGAAAGGAAGGAAAAACTGATAAGTATTTAGATTGCTAACACAATAGGGAAATTGGGTTATTTCTCCCATTTAGTTTAATATTTACTTAAAATTTGTCAGAAATAAAGTTTTGAGTATGCAATATATGAACGTAATATACCTATTATGTTAAATAGTTTAGCTCCTATTTAATTAATTAATTTAATTCTTGACAAAACCTGTTGTGAGAGAGAAACAGCAGGGGAGTACCCATTTAGTTTATTAAAATTCAAAGCTCATTTTTAAGTTCATTTTCACTCCTAATTCCTCAGCAATCAGCTAGGAAATTGGAGGGAAGTTTAGCCCCAAAACCACAAATCCCATGTGCCCTTCTGAATTAAGTTTAGAGAATGGCAGGTCAGCCAGTATAGGGTCTCCCTTAGGTATGACAGGGAAGGAGGAGGGATTATTAAAAAAAGTCTAACATAAACATAAGCATGATTCTGGAAGTAAATTCCCAACCCCAATTCTGCAATATAGAAACATGTTCATTAGTAAGGTAGTCCGGTGTGTTAGGCCATTTTAATTGATTCGATTCTTCTTTTAAGAAGTATTAGATCTTTCACTGACATTGTTGCAATTCTTTTTCTTGGGTCTTCTTGGTACCTAGGTCATGTTTCCATTGAGAGATTCAAAGATGAATGGGTGGCAGTTTCTCCTTAACCATCGCATAACCTAAAAATGGTGTCATCATTCAATATACCCATGCTGTTTTCTTAGTTACCAGTGGCTGGTGTCTAATTCTATCTTCCCTTCAGTTTTGCACTGTTTAACTGTGCTTTGCTAGTTTTGGGTGAGGGTTCTTTAATTACTGTATCTCGTACCCTTGGAGCCTGTCCACTTGTCATTTTGGTATTTGTGATGTAGGAATCTACGTTTTGCTTATCCCCTTCCAGCTGGGTGGTCTACTTGTTCACTCCGGGGAATTCCTTTATGCCCTGGCACCCAAGATATTGTTAGGTCGTTATGTTTACCCACATTTTGAAGATTTTGGATGCATTCACTGACTATTTTAAATATGACCCTTTTATGTTCTCCTTAGATCTTTTCCAGACTGTATGACTTGCAAGTCAACCGCACTTTTCTGTAGCTTTAAATTATCTAATCCTGGATCCCTATTTTTCAATTCAAACCTCATTAACTAATATATTTTTTTAGGAACTATTGACTTTATTGTGTTGTTTTCAGGCTAAAATTATAAATGTTGACACAACAATAAAGATAATTCAAAAATGAAAAATGAAATAGCTAATTACCATATCCTTGTAGGATGGAGATCTTATTCCTGAACAACTCCTTTTGAATGCGAAGAGCACTGTCTGCACTGAGGATCACCCCGCCAACACTTAGAATGACTAAGCTGCTTAAGTCATACGCGTCTTTACCCGGGAAGTCCAGCAGTGCATTGAGTGTCATTGGCAGGGAGAACCATATGTTGGCCTTGTAGTTCTGTATACAGCTGAGGAGTTCCACTTCCTTTGGAGGGCCTCGTACAAAGACAAGCTTAAGTCCTCCAATCAATGACCCCAGTAGTATCGTAGTGCCGCTCATCCAAAAGACGGGCGATGTCAGCAAAGTAGTCGGCTGCTTGTCAATTTTCCTCGAACTGTAAATTTTTACTTTTTTAATACAAAACCAGCTATTGTCAGTCAATAAATACCTTCAACAGCACAAGCTTTCTTGGAACGAACATTCATTAAATGCAGGCTTTTCAAATGATTTGATGATTGTTTAAAGATCATAGGAGTTCGTAGGTCTAACCGGTCAATTATTATATTGATGGAAGTGTGAATTTCTGTTCATTGTGATATAAGAGAGCTTATGTTGCCAAACAAACATAGGATACTTACAAATGAGGCATGTTCTGAAGGAGGTACACATCTGTCAGCATGACGCCCTTTGGGAGGCCCGAGGTGCCAGAAGTGAATAGTACGAAGGCAACGTGGTCCTCCGGGTTGGATATAGACGGTCTGAACTCCGGGTCATTCGGTTGTAGTAGGGCCTGAAATTAATATTTTAGTTTTGTAACAACCTTTATTCTCAGCTATTTATAGCTAAATGTACCTGGAATGTCAGGTAGCTGTGTCTTCTCCCTGAGAAGACAACAAGAAGCGGTGCAGCTGATATGAGCGTGAGCGCGTTTTCAACTTTGCACAAAGTCTTGCCGCCCTCTGTGAATACGACGGTAGGTGACACAAGTTCCATGAGAGACGCCATTTCTTCTACAAAAATGGACAAAACAATATTAAGGCCTTTCATTAGCTTCATGGGTGCATACATTTCATACGAAGATACACAGGCACATTTTAACATTACCTTGTGACAAAGAAAACAGGCATTTGCATGATTTTAAAAACAAATAAAGCAGAAATAACTAGTATGTTGGACATTTCTGAACGATCAATATAAAAGCAGTAATGATCACAGTGCGTATGTACAATTGCTAGTGGATAGGAAAGAATTGTATGCATGCAAGATACATACAATAACATTATGTTTTGAAACACATATTTTTTAAAAATAATTTTCTATTGTGGATATTTTTAAATATTATCGACTACAAGAAGAAGAATAAATATGTTCAAAAATATTTAAAGACTGTCTGGATTATGCCATATCTAATCAATCTAGTTAAAATATTACAGGTTGACACTAAACATTTTTGGCAGTTTGATACTATAAATTAGAAATTGGGCAGACATGTGTTACAACTTTAACAGTGTGGTGTTAACGATTTAGCAGTTGACCAAAAAATTCGGCAGGTGATGCTAAAATTTGGACTGATAGATAAATTATAAACATGGCATGTTGATACTGGGAATTAGCCAAAATGTTGCCAAAACTTTAGCACAGTGAGCTATAAGTAGCAGATTGATACACAAATTCGGGAGGCTGATGGTAAAATTTTGGCTGATTGATAGTAGAGATGTGACACTTTTTCCCTCAGGGCCGTCTTATCAGAGAATTGGTCTAAACAGATCAATACGTTAGTGGATCGCCCTAATCCAGCGGATATGCGCGGATTTATTTTTTTCCGTAACCGACTTGATTCATCAGAGGATTTATAGGAAACCACAGATCGATAGGTTAATAATTGTTCAACGCTTTAAAAAATAATTAGCGAAAAAATCCTATTTGAAGAACATCTCGCGGCACGAAATGTTCCGTTTAATTTTTAATAACTGAACGAAATGAATGATGAAAATGTCACGAACTTATATTATTACCCCAATGGGATTATTATTATTATTATTATTACAAATGGGATTTATTGTCCATTCACCGGAAGTTTAACCCGACGATGCTATTTTAGTCTGGCCCTTTTTGATTAAATTTTTTATTCATACGTTTATAAAACATATGCACTGCCTGTACGTTGACGTACAGTGTACTTTTTACACATGGGGAAATAAAACGAAATAAATGCAAGCGAATAAACCCCTGACGCCAATTGTGGGTTTTTAGATAATGACTGATAAAACTTGTAGTTGCCCTAGCTTTATGCAAATTGGGCATAAATAACAAGCTTTCACTAACTCAACTTGTTGGGACAGTGGGCACTCTCAACAGGACACGCAAGAATGGCACAATTACACAGAAGACAAACCCTTTGAGCCCTGAAGATGATCTCAATAAAGACCGAAACGTTGGCATGATAAAGATAACGTTTTTCTTAAACCTACGTCACACCAGACCGCACCTTACGATCTTCAAATAATCATCGGCTAACGGTCACCAAACACCACATATTCTTGCGTACTTTCCATTCGCCATTTACACACTTCGGGCCGAATATTTTTGTTAGCCTTTTCTTTTCCATACCCCAAGAATCTTTTCACTTTCTTTACTCAACACCCGTTTCGCTAGCCTATTGGGCTTAGAGTCGCTTTGTAACAATCTTAGCCTTGCGAGGTCCTTGAACCGCAGAGCCTTTTGTACCGCAAACAGGCATCTATTCCCTGCCGCTATTCTCGCCTTTATTTCTGCCCATACATCATTATTCTTTGTTACAAAGACCCTAGATATTTAAAATTACTGTCTACTAGGAAACTATGATTTCCAAATTGAATTGGTCCTTCTCCACATCCACGGGTTCTCGAGGTTCTTATATACTTAGTTTTGCCCTCGTTAATTTCCAGACCGCGTTGTTGCTGGCTTCTTGCAGTGCTCCTCCCAGTACCGCCTTTATTCTTGCTATAATTAATATGTCGTACATGCCTTGTGTTGCGTTAATCTATTATAAATAGTGCCGCCTGGGTTTGTTCTAATAGCCTGCACCGCTCTTTCCAAACATAGATCGAAGATGACCCATGATAGAAGGTCTCCTTGCCGCAGGCCCGCACCCACTCTAAAATCCTCCGACAGTGTATTTTGCACTTTGACTTGGTAGCTCGTGTTATGCCACGTCATACCGATTAGCCGAACTAGCTTACATGACATGCTTACCAAGTACCCTTAAATCTGCTGAAGCTTACTAAGGGGCACTACGAGGAAGCGGTCCACTTTACCCTCCTTTTTAAACTTAAATGATCATAACTAACCAACCTACAGGTCCAACATCGTACAGACTTCAAAACGATACCTAGCAATAATAGAAATTAGATCGTTTCCCATTCCCAAATGCTTGTTCCTTGAAGATTTTAGGTGTTTTAGGTTCAGTGAGCAGAAATAACCAGGGTAGTTATTCACGAATTTGGTTGTATTGGGTGACCAGAAATGACAAGCCCAACACTCTACAGACATCAGGAATATACTACAAAATTTAAAACTTTTACTGGCTTATCGTGGGTGAAATCCTGGTTAAAATATTCACTATTATCTTTCGCCTGGGTGGATTAAATCAATGTTCTCTCATACTACTCAACATTTTAACGTAAACAGTGTCCAAAATGTTGATTTATTCGCGAAGCAATAAAATTACTTGACTGTCATTACCGGACAATGGCGTAAACTGACTGTAGATGTTGAAGTCCGTCTAAGTTATCCAAAATCGTGAACTTAACACATATTTTGACTAATTAAAATCCATCGAGGATAGGCAGATAAAAATAATCGGAAACGATCAAGTTTCTATTACTATCTTCTTGAGGTCATTAGGGCGTTGAACCTGCAGCTTTTTTAGTCTTTTAGTTATTTAGATCTTAGTTAGTCTCCTAGTTAGTCTTTTTTTGTTATTTAGATTACCTTAAGACACAAAAAAATCGTGAAAAGTTAGTATATTTTGACGGGACAAAACAGCGGGAATTGAAAGACCGAAATCATCGGATACGATGAACCATTATCTCTGGATGGTATCTTCTTGACGTCTGTAGTGTGTTGGACCTCCAGTTCAGGTTATTTTTGGTCGTTTAAATCTGCTAATGACATCCAAATAATGAAGTGTTACATATTTTCGTTGACAGACCAAAATGAACAAAAACGATTCAGCTACTTTCATTAATGTGGGAAATCTTCTTGGAATTTGCGATGTACCTATAGATTAGACGTTGCTGATCATTTAGGACTTTCAAGGACAACCAAATCATGAAACTTTTGATGCTTTTTCAGGCAAAACGAGGATTGGAAGACCAGAATTACTTGAAACGATCTAACATGCATTGAAGTTAGGTATCTTCTGGAGTCCTGTTGGGTTTTGAATTTGCAGTTTTGTCGTTCGTTCTTTTAAGTCTTCCTAAGAGCCCAAACAGTGAAACGTTCCATATTTTCTTACAGGACAAAACAATGAAGATATACAAGCTAAAATCATAGGACAAAACCAAGATATCCCTTACTGAGATGTCTTCTTGAGGTTCAAGGGTGTTGACCTTGTTGTTTAGTTATTCCTGATCATTTAAGTCTGCCCNGCAGTCTAGTGTCGTTGTACAAATCTTTCTGACAGACCAATGTTACGAATTTGTACATACCACAGGACAAACTACAGGTTAAACAACCAAATTTCATAAAGAAGAAATATTACAAATGGAAAGGTTGTTTCGGTTTATTATGCCAATTAATTCGTTGGTGGTGAGGTAACTCTTCCATTTATTTTAAACAACTACTGAAATGTAAGCAGGGTGTGGTAATGTTTCCTTCCATGCAAAAAATACCACTGAAGATGACAAAATGCCGAAACATGTATGAAAGACCAAAGAACCCAGGATATTTCAGGATGATCAGAAACGACCGAACTACTTGTTCATTTCATAAAGTTCGCTGAGGATGGCGTTATACAGAAACACGTCACAGACCAAAACATACCAAGATTATCAGTCCATCATCCTGCGGACATCCAGAAGAAAACACACAAATTGACAGGTGCATTGCCATTTCACCTTAAGGTTGCAGGGGGATGTAAGCAGGATGACGCATTGACTCAACCCATTCCAAAATACACGACAAAAAAAATCCTAAAAACTCTGATAAAAAAACAACCAGAGTAGATCAGGATGATCGGACACGGCCAAACAAATCCATCACCCCATCGCTTCCATAGGAAACATCACAAATTGTTTTTCAACGGTTCCTCAAGGATATAAGCAAAATGAGAAATCACTTCACCTTCCAAGATGGCGAATGTCTTGACTCAAGTGCCTGACTATGAAAATCATAAAGCATATGGTGCTTGTGTGCTTATAGCAATAAGTTTAATATTGTTATTCTAATTTTGTCTTAACTTAGCCACACGGGTATATCACAGTAAATTATAGTCTATAGAATCGAGGAACTTTAGAGTGTTCACTGTAAACGTAAGAAAGCCTATCCCACGTTGTTGGCTAGGCGCCTCCCGTATTCATCACGTACCGTTCAAACTCTGATCTACGCTTATCAAATAAAGTACAGTAGAACAGTATGTGATCCCACGTCTGTTCCTCTGGATTACTGCAATGACATTTTGTGCCCTCTATAATCTTGAAACGATGGAGGTATGGTCGGTTTTTCCGTGTCCAGTCACTTGGATCGACTTATAATGGTCCTTAAACGTTGAGTTTGCTCGGGCAGTTGTCATTGGGAAGAACCTTGTGATGTGAAGCCCTTTTGTTGTGGCCGATCATTGTTTTTAACATCGTTGCTTTCTTGTCTCATCTTGGGGTTTATATACCTAATCCTAAACCTAAAATCCACCTAAAACCTAATTTCGTTCTTGCTGTTGACTGCCTCCTTGGCTAATGTGCCAGCTGCTTCGTTTTCAGTGAATTCAAAATGTGCTTTTATCCACTCGATGCTTATAGACCAACCGTCGGTATTTTCTAGGTGGAAAGCCAGTTGCCTGATTTCTTCAACAAGAAACGAGTTCAAAGCCACTCGTCCTGAATCGGGATGGCTATCTGTCCATAATGTGGCCGTTCTTTTATCAGGGTTTGGATTGTATCCCTCTAGGCACGTTAAAGCTTCGAGAATAGCCAGAAGTTCGGCTTGATTGTTGGAGCACCAACTTTCCGTTTTATGTTTTTCCTCGTGAATTCTGATAGAATATTTGAAAATTACAACTGCGCAACCGACTTGGCCGTTCATTTTGCTTCCG